GATTTTAGAAGCTCTATAAACCACTGGAGACAAACATAATGTCTTTAAATGCTTCTTTGGAGGTGCTATAGCATTCCAGTGCCGCTCTGTGTCCTGTAAATCTGTTATCCCGACAGCTCTGCTAGTAAAACTGGAATTAAATCCATTATTGAAAGGTCACTGCACAGGGATGTGAAAGCATTGTTTTTAAATGTTAATAATGCTGATGTTTTTAAAATACAAACAAAACATCCTACTTTGTTTTATAATTCTTTCCCTGCATAGTTCTAAAAGTGAGAACATTTAAGAAAAAAAAAAGCCCTGAGTCATCTAGCGTAGCTCCACGCTGGTGAGAACGGGGTAGATCTACGGGTTCCCGCGTCTCTGGCAGCCTCACGGCGCGAGCCCTCAGGGTGGACGCTGCCCACTGCCCACTGCCACCGAGACACCGTGAGCACGGGCAGCGCCATGCTCCACCGGGACAGCGCGAGTGCTGCTGGGTGCGTGCCCCTCCTGTCCTGCGGCACCACGCACAACTTCGATCGCACACAACGCTAGAGCTCTTGGGCCTCGGACCCAGCCTCGCAGCCGCTGCCTTTACAGACACGGAAAAGGACAACAGCACAACAGGCAGAATCGCTGGCTCAGTCGCTCTGGAAAGCTCCTCCCCTGTGGTCCCAACTCGACCCTTTCCACTCCAGGGCCTCAATGCTGCTCTGTCCCTCATCTCTGCTCCATCGAGCGCCCTGAGCAGAGGACACTGCTGGCCACTGCCTCCTGAGGTGCCTGGGCTCCTTCCAGGCGTGCACACCCATCCTGCAAGTGCCACACGTGTGTGCTGCACCAGGCCACGCAGGGACCGCCACGTGGGGGGGAAGGTGACACAGAGCCGCCCTCAGAGCCACCTCTCACTAGCTCGGGGACCGTACAGGGCTGTGACGAAGGACGGACAAGCAGGGGAGTCACCTGCACCACACTCCACTTATACAGGGCAACTCGCAAGTGTCAGTGCAAGAGTCTGTATGCTTGGAATAAGGAATTTAATTGTGTGACATGCAGTAAATATGTAACCCAACAATTTCGCCAGAATTGATCAGCAGCCAAGATCCACAGCAGACGGCTCCAAATACACGCACCGCATGGCTCCACCCGGCCACTCAGGTCCATCCACAGCACAGCCTTCCTCTCCCTTCGCTGTCACCCACGGGCCGGAAGCGGCAGTGCCCTGGGACCGGAAGCTCACCGTTACCCTACAGTACTATGCCTGCTGTAATTATCTTTCCGATTTCCACTTCGCTACAGGTTCGGTGAGAACTGATGTATACATGACTGGGGCCGAGGAGAAACTAGAAGAACAACAACCGGGCATGGTGGTGCACACCAGTCCCAGTCCTCTAGGGGACAAGTTCGAGCCCAGCTTGGGCAACCCATCAACTTAGTGAGAAGGTTCTTACAAAATAGATACGTATATTCATCTACGTATCTCTGTCCGTATCTGTATCTATACCATCGGTGTATCTGTGTGTGTGTATCATGTAGCTCAGTGTGAAGGAGCGAGAGAAGGATGAAGAAAGAGGAGGAGAGGTGTAGGAGGTCAGGGACGAGGAGAAGGAGGGCCGCAGGAGAGCCAGCCAGCCCTGTGCCACTAGGACCTGACCCCCAAGCATCGTGAGCTCTGGGTGTGCCCGCTTCAGACGGCACTGACACAACTCAGCAGCCATCTCGGTCACCTCCCGGACACGCCTCGTGCCTCACTTCTCAGATCCCTACACCCTGTCCTCCAGATTTCTGCCCCATCCCACCTGGGTCATACAACCCCCTGCTTCCATGGTGCCCCGATTCTGTGCCAAAGTTAGAGATGGAAATGAACCCAGGACTTTCAGATTGAGCTACATCTAACCCCTCTCCATCCCCAGGGTCTAAGTCACTAAGTTGCCCAGGCTGGACTTGAACTTATGATCCTCCTGCCTCAGCCTCCCAGAGTGCTGGCATTACAGGCACAGCCCAGCTAACAGGACAGAATTCGGAAGGGATTACTTGGTCCTTCTGTTTACTGGAAGGAGCGTAACAATTTCTGAGAGGCTAAGAAGACCTGTGACAGGGCTGTACTGTCAGAAGCACCACCGCTGGGTGGCTGGGAAATGGAGTTTGGGACGCCTCCAAATTGCCACAGTCCCATCTCTCACCCCTCTCCGGAAAGCCCCACTCAGAGGACACCGCCGTTATCTGACCGACGTGGGGAGAAGGCCAACTGTACACGAAAGATGGCTGAGGACTTTTTAACACCACAGCCGTTTGAGGCTGAGACGCGTTTAGGGAGTGAACGGAGCTCCTGCAGAACTTAAAGACGGAGGAATGCGCAGGCGAGGCTGTCCGTCTCCTGCCACACGCAACCTGGGGGAAAGGTATGTTCCGGGGGCTCCAGCCCGTCAGCTGGCGCCGCGTGGCGGAGACAAGCTGCTGACTGGCAGCCAAGGGGCCGAGGCAGGAAGAGCCACAGCAGAGGCGGCGAGGCCACGCCCCGGGGCCCAGCTCCTCCAGCCCGGGCTCCCAACAGCACTGCCCCTCCCCCCAGCTCACCAGCGGGCGCGGCGGGTGGGAGCTCTTCAGATCTGAGCCTTCTCCAGGCTGTGCAGGCCGGCGCATCCGCCTGGGCGTCCAGGAGGCTGCGCCCATGTGCACAGCTGGGCGGTGACCACGGAAGGCCCAGGAGCCCTCTCCCCTGGATGCCGGTCCTGGTGGCCAGGGCGGCCTCACTGTGGACGCCAGGGCCCCGCACGCGCAAGGCCTGTGGGACGGGGTGGGGCGGGAGGCTGTGGGTTTCAGGAAACCCCTGTCCAGCCACTGGCTGCCCCGGAACTAAAGGGACAGAGACCTCCGCGGCCGATAGTGCAGGGAATACCGACTTCAGTCCACTCAGTAGCCACCGAGTAACCCACAGGTCACAAAACAGGAGCAGCAACCTTGTGGACCATCTGCTTTCTGGTGTGGACACGTTTACATCAGCCAAGATGTCTGCTTTCCAACAAAAAATTAAAAACCACACACCATTCGCCGCCTGCTACGCAAGCACAAACACCTGAGTTCAATCCCCGGTACCAAAAAAAAAAAAGAATCTCATTTTGGGCCGGGGATTTAGCACAGTGGTTCCGTCGCCTGCCTCGCAAGCGCAAGGACCAGAGTTCGATCCCTGGTACCAAAAAAAAAAACCCCAAAAAAACCACACACCAGAACAAAAACAGGGCAACATGGGCCACACACAGAAAAAAGCAGTGAACGGGAACTGTGTCTGAAGGCCTGACTAGAAGTACAGGTAACCATGTACAAACCTTTGAGCGGAAGAATAAAAATCATGTCTTACCAAACAGAGACTATCAACAAAGAAAAACTTATAAAAGAAAACCAGGGGCTAGGGATTTAGCTCAGCAGTTTCGCCACCTGCTGCGCAAGCGCAAGGACCCGAGTTCAATCCCCAGTACCAAAAAAAAAAAAGAAAGAAAGAAAAGAAAACCAAATGCAAATTCCCAATAATGGGGGTGAAACATTCATGACTAGGGCGCAACAGCAGATGTGAAAAGAGTCAGCTAATATGAAGAAGATAAGCCAGCTCACCACTGACCACGCCAAATACCACTGGATGCCAATAAATTAGATAACACAGACGACATTTCCAGAAAAACTGTCAAGACTCAGAAGAAATTAGATGGAATAAGAGACTGGCTTTACAGCGCCTCACAGAGGATGAGAACGGAGCAGGCAGGTATGGTGCAAGAAGAAAACAGCCCACGGGGCTTTTGTGCGACTCTCACCACTTCCAACTGCTGGGCACCTGGAAAGCCAGAAGCACCATCCAAGACTACTCAGCCTGAGACGGTACAAATTGGGTACAAGGTGCACCACACAGAAGTCAAAATCTCTCAAACGCATTTGTTTTGCAAGCCTAGGAGACAGAGTGGCAGAAAATATCTCATTTCAGATAACAAGTAAAAGTAACAAAACACCTAGAAGAAACGCAAAGACTAACAAACTACTACAAAACACTGCTGAAGAACACAAAACTGTCTCGAACAAGGTGGGAAACGTAACACACACTTCCCTTCAAAGCCCTCGCGTGCAGCCTCCTGTGTCTCGGTGGAAGTGCAACCTGGCACGTCACTTGGAATAATGTGTCAACACCTACAAAATGACAATGCACACAACCTGTGAGCTGGTAACTCCAGTCGCAGGAACCTGCCCTGCAGCTGGCCCTGCTCGTAAGAAAAAGGGAGTCTGCACAGGGCTATTCCCTGCAGAAGGGTCTGTGACAGCACAGACTGGAGGAGGCTGGCCGCTGGCGCACTCCTGTCAAATAAATCATGCTGTGTCCACAAAGAGAATGGTATGCTGCTGTGTAAAGAATAAATGTTTCTATGTACCAAAGTTCCACAATGGCTGGAGATTTATTATTGAAAGCACATCTTTTTCTTAGGGTAGGAAAACATATTATCAGTAGTAAAGTATCATCTTCCCATAGAATAGAACTCTAAATTCCTGTGGGCAAATATTAGAACAGTGACTTGATAATTTTATTTAATGACACAGCTCGTTTGGGTCCTATTCTTGTGAACAGTTCTAGCAACATTTTTTATTAATAAAAAAATGAACATGCATGTGGTTTTAAAAAACTAACAGAAATGTGCGTAGGACGTAAAGTAAAGCCGTTCCCCACCATGCCGTCTGACTTCCGAGCTGTGTTTGGTCACATCTGTTTTTATTTTTATTACCAGCAATAATTCTACACCTCTATTTTTTGTTTTATCACCTTTAAGCAGTGTCGAGTGACCCTGTGCCATGAGAGATAATGAATTAATTCAGGGAAATTATTGTCTGACCCCGCTTTCCATTTCTATTATTTATAGATCTTTATCACGAATTTTGACTCACCAAGTTTAAACAGCATTTCTTGACTCCCTGCTCTGTATGAGGAGGAAACCTGCAGATGGGCGAACTCCCAGAACCAGGGGGTGGCAAGTAGCACTCACCTTGCTCGTAGAGCAGCTTCATATTCGAGTCCTTGCAGGCGACCAGGTTGCTGAGCAAGGCGATCACACTCTGCATGGTGTTACCCAGAATGTTCTCCCGATGCCCCTGCAAGAGACCATAGTTCTGTGAGGACCGCATGCATGCGGAAATGCAGCTGCATCTCCACCAGGACAGGTCAGCAGGGGAGCGCTGCTGCCTGGACTGCAGCGAGGCCCAGCCCCAGCTCCAGTCGGGGAGCAACCCCGGGCTGAGCCAGCCACAGAGGCAGGCAGGTCCCGCCCAGTGGCTGAGGGGCAGCCACACAGCCTCTCGGCGCTCAGGAGTGCAGGTAGAGGGACACAGGAGACACACCAAGTCTGAAGCCGCCAAGGCAAACTGCTCCAAGGAAGACGAGCTGCTGCCGCTCTACACCCCCAGCCCTGCTCCTGGCCTCCACCCTGGCACTCGCATGACGGGGGTACAACTCGCAGTGCTGTGCTTCCGCACAGGGAGCTACACAGGGCACTGAAGAGTGCATGTTGCATTCCTCTGCATTCGCTGTCACACACCAGAGAAAAACTGAGACCCAAAAATGGAGGCTAAGTAAAACAAGTGAAGCTTCAGGCTCTATTTCTTGGAAATCTTAAAGAATCATAAAAGTCACTTGCTTTTCTTTTCTCCCCATCTGATTTACTAAAACAGACTATAGGTGAAATGATAAAATTTCATATAATTCCGAAGTGCAGTCTGAGGTGCAGGAGTAGGCTAGCACAGAATGTTCCAGTGTAAAGCGTTCATGCCAGGCCTGTGAAGAGCAAGCACTGAGAGATCCAGCCTGGCCTGCAGGGCCTGCCAGTCCTGTGACCTCGGGACTCCGCCTGGCTCCCACCTGAGAAGGACCAGCAGGCCCCCCAGCCTGTCCCTGGGAGTCTCCTCTCTCCCAGCACACAGAAAGGTGCAGTTTGCTTTGCTTCTTTACAGTGCCCACGGGGCAGTTCATATGAACAGAAATTTTACTTCACTGTGTTTCTGAAATAATTTCAGCTTCAGAGTAGAGCTGTGAAGATGGTGCAGCATTTCATGCCCCTTCCCTCCGCTCTCCCAACCTAAGCCAAGGTGAACACCACCCTAACCGCAGTGCGGTCATCCAGACCAACACAGAACAGCCCCAGTGACCTGCTCACCGGCTCGCTCAAGATCTGCGTTCCCCACTCACGCCTCGTCCTGCTCTGGCGCCTGGTCCAGGTCACCAGCTACATTAGGACGATCATTTCTGCAGTGGATATTCATAGATGCCCACTGTTCCGGGTACTTGGCTTACACCAATGAAAAAACAGAAAAGAACAAAACACTGGATCCTGCCCACACCTTGTTTACCTTGTAGCAGAGAGAAGAGAACATCCACTAAACACCGAAACCAATCCCAGCATCGTCAGAAGGCGATGGGAGCTTGGAAGCAGAACAGGAAGAGGACAGGAAAGGCTGCAGGGTCAGCAGCGCCATGTGCCGCAGACAGACGCTGCAAGGCCTGGCATGAACCTGCACTCCTCTGCCAGCCTCACGAGGTCTGCTGGCCAGTGTCGGGTTGTGGCACTCGTGGTCTTAAGAGCCAGCAGCCAGCGGGCGACCCTGTCTGGCCGCACACCCATCTCACTGCACCAGTGTGCACTGCTCCCCTAACGTCTGTTCCAGCACATCCGGCAGAGCCTCCCACAGAAGCAAAGGCACAGGATCTGTGTTGCCAGTAGATCTTTGATTTTTCAATCTGCTTGGATACCTATGCCTTGATCCACTTTGGAGATGCCCGTTCTCCTCAAATCACCTACAGCGCCCAGCTTAATAACTTCTCGGTGGAGCTGTGCACAGACAGCCTCTCCCACAGCCCTGACCCCACATGGCCCTGCAGTGTCCCCTCATCCACCCGCCCACCCGTCAGACCCGCCACGGCTTTGTCCACGCCCCTGGATCTTTCAGGAACGCATCCCTGGCTCAGGACCCGTCTCCACCTTGTGCTTCACGCCAGTCACTGCAGATGTGCAGGCCCCCACTGCTCTCCAGGCAGACAGAGGGTGCCTCTCCCTGCCCACCTGTGACGAGAAAGGACCACGAGCCTTGCTTCACTGTCCTGCCTTTCCCTGCGTCCCTGTGACCTTCCGGACAGCACAGTTTCCAACAGCTGGACTCGAGTACTTGAGAACAGGAAGCAAAGAGGCCAGGAGCCCTGCCGCAGGGTGACACAGTTGCCGATTGGTGCTGCAGGGACCCTGAGTCGCCCTCCCACCCACTGAGGCCGTCACCTCAAACCCTGTGGGTGTCACCAGCTGGTCTCTGCCTGACTCAAAAGGGTCTGCTTTCCAATACTGACACCTAAAAGGGCCTAACTCCAAAAACCTGCTCAAGGGCACTTCCGCAGTGGCCGACCCCAGCCCAGGAAATGACTGTGGAAGCGGTAAATGGCTCCCACAGCTGGATGAAGAGTGCCGAATAAGCACCAAGATGACACGACACGGCACTCGTGATGAAGCAGCTAACGATGCATAGGGAATGCGTCCCGATGAAGAAAGTAAAGCCGATCAATCTTACTTTATCCTGTTCAGCAAAATGAATCATCATCCTTCAAAAGGCCCCCATCAACAAACACGGGTCGGTCTTGCTGGGACGAATCCACTTGTAGCACGCGGTGTTGGCTGACTGCGCCTGTTCTACGACACCCTAGCAGCGTCTGCTCTCTCACGAGCCAGGGCTTAGCTCAGCCCGTCCGCAAGGGGCCAGCGCCACTTGTTGAGACTGACGTCTCCTGTGTCAGAGAGTGACCACGGGTGGCATGGAGGGTGACAGACTGCCGGAGACAAGACAGGTTCAGTCACCAAGAGTGCCCAGCCATTAGGGAGACTCAGAGAGAAAGCCACCACGCGACACGCTCTGGCTGTCCTTTAGAATATCCACTTAAGGGGCCAGGGATTTTGCTCAGTGGTTTTGCCACCTGCTGCGCAAGTCCAAGGACCTGAGTTCGATCCCCGGTACCAAAAAAAAAAAAAAAGAATATCCGCTTAAGAGAAAAATGCAGGAGAAAAGCAGTCTGGCCCGGAGCAGTCTCAGGGGTGGGCAGTTTTCCTGGGGAAAGGGGAAGGACGCGGCCAGACACAACACGCTTCGCTGACGTAAACTTCGTGCTGTTTAACCACTCGCTTCTCCCAGCCCTCGAGCGCTGCCCCACAGTTTAACCCTCCCCTCCGCACACAGCCTGTGAACCGTCTGCCTCGCAGGGCAATGATCTGTGTGCTTTTGGCTCAATTTTAACCCCTCCCTCCTCACAGGGCCTGTGCGCTTTTGTCCCGAGGTTTAATCGTTCACTCCAGGCCAGGCCCCCAGTTCCCTTCAGTAGAAAAGCGAGTCTCCAACATACTGAGACCCCAGGCTCAGATCCAGCCAACCAGCTCTGGCTCCGGCTCCCAAGGAAGGGCACTGTGGTTGTCGTGCACCCTCCCAAGCGCTCTCCTCGGGGCATCTGTGCAGAACGAGGGAAGCTGAGACGTCCGCAGCCACACCGGCAGCGCTCCTGTCTGTGCCGGAATTGTTAAAACACTGCTTTCCGTGTTCTTTAGTCTTCAGACTATTCCTAGATCTCGTCATACAGCATCGTGCAGGATACAGTGAGGGCTTTGTGGAAAACAGGTAACTTTATGCTCGGCTCCTCATAAGGAAATACGCTCCTAAGTAACACAGGTGAGGCGACCTTGGGACAGAGCGGCTGTCCCTGCCTCCCAGAGGACATGGTTCTCCAGCGGAGGAGAGAGCTGCTGCCCTGGGCGGATCACCATTCCCTGGAGGGGGAGGCAGGCGAGGAGCAGATGAGGTGTAGACTACATGGGAATGAATAGGCTTCTGTTAACACATCATCAAAGGAGCCACTTCCTGTCTCTCCACAACTCGAATAAGGTTTGTTCTTGTTCACAACCAGACTGCGTAGGGGGTAAGTCGTCACAGAGACACATCCTGCTTCCTTCTGAGTGGGTGGGGTGGTGGGCAGAGGGTGCCGGTGACCCGGGCCGCGTGCCCCTTCCTTCAGCCCACTGTGAAGGGCACCGAGCTGCAGGCCGGGACGACTCTGGCCAGAGACTGCAGCTCTGGGACGGCGCCTTTCCCTCCCTCCAAATGGGATGCGAGGCCAGCGCCAGTGAGAGAAGGCTGGGTGAGACCCGGCCTCGGGCGCTGCCTCCTTTCCCGCTTCCTTCAGCCTCTGCGGTTAATGGCTCCAGGAGTCCACACCGCGCAAGCGGAGGACTGACCTACGAGGGGACCTCGGGTCGGGGCAGGGCCAGGGCCAGGCCTGGGCAGCGTCTCACCGGGACACGGAGCTTCCTGTGTGCCGAGGCCTGCCCAGCCCGGCACCTCCTCCCGCTGTCCTCAGAAGCACGGAAGGGGCCGAAGCTCTCCTCACAGGCAAAGACCCAGGTCGCGAGGACAAGCACACCTCGCCACACTCGGCAGGGCACAGGGGCCAAGGCCACACTAACCCGGACTCACACGGAGCCGCCCCACAGCCCTAGAAACAGGACACAATGGGGGACCAGCAGCCCCTGGGCACCCAGGTAATCCGGGGAATTGAAGGGGTCGGGCCAAGAGGGAGGGCTCCAGGTGTGCAGGCTTGGCGCTGCTGTGGTGACACCTGTGCCACACTGAGCCCCACCTCCCACCACCTCGGGATCCAGTCTCAAGGGCCCGCCCCGGTCCACTGTGCCGTGAGACACAGAACCTAGGAGGCCGGGACGGCACAGGCAAGAGGCGCACAAAAGCAGACACGCACACCAGAGTCACTGCTGCCAGCCACGCTTTTCAGACGGCGTCAGTACTGGCTGCGTGGGCAGAAGGAGGCCGAGCTCACCCATGCGGGTGCCGGGGACACCCTCGAAGGCCACGCCACACACCCCACGGCGAGATGTCTGAACTCACCCACTGCCCATCACTACTCACAGCTGACCTGTGTGCCTGCCACCGAGGTGTGGGGGGGGACACTTAATAAACACGACACAAGCACACTAATAAAATGCAGCATTTCCCACAGAGAGAATCAGAATCCAAGGAGCAGAATTCTAGAGTTGGGCAACAGAGATGAAACGACTTCG